CTGCCTTTATTGTCCATTTGCAAAAAAAACCAAAACAAAACCCTGGAACATATTCTGTAAGATTTAGTTCTGGGTTATTTCTTTCAAGAAGCCTTCTCTGAGTCCCTATCTCTCTTCAGGTTGAGCTAGTTACTTCCATAATGCCCTGTGAATATTTTAACCATTATTTGTGGTCAGGGATCGGCAATATCAGAATCACCTGGAGCTTGTTAGAAAGGCATCTCCGACCCTACCTAGATGTATGCAATCTGCATTTGCTTTTTAACAAGACCCCCAAGTGATTCACATGCACATTTGAGTTGGGAAGCACTGCTGTAGTAATTATTTGCATACTTGTTTCTCCTATCAGGCAAACAGTCTCAACATTTAGTGAGCATCAGAATCACCTAGGAAGCTTGTTATAACGCAGACTCCCAGGCCCACAAAGAGAATCCAACCCAGTAGATCTGGGGAGGGGTCCAGGTATGTGCATTTTTATAAGCACCCTGAAGTCACTAATTAAGGGCCTCCCACCCACTTACTTTGAGAGATATACTGCAAGACTATGATATACTTGAGATAAAAGAGGAAATTAAAGGACAAAACAATTGTGGAATGGGAGGAAGCAGGATACAACACAGAATACATATGGAAAGATGGAAGAACACGAGAAGAGAAAGAGTAGGTATATTGTAAATGCCTTGTGAAATAAAAATTGCCTAAATTTTTCTTCTAGAACAGATGGATTAGTAAAAACAACATTAGAAAATGGTCACTATTTTTTTCCTCAATAAAAAAGCCTACTCTATTTTCCATTACCCAAATAAAACTGGCAACAATAACTCATAACTACAAAAAACTCTTTAAGCTACTCAATATCCAGTCCAATATTAGCCTTCTTGTCAGCTTTTTCATGCATATTTGCAAAAAGTAATGAACAGAGGAACACCTGAATCATTGGTTTTACACTACATACCTCTACCCAGACATATGGTACACACTCTATAAATGCTTGTAGAATTCAACTGCAATACTGGGTAAGAACTGTGACTTAGCCAATGCATTGTTTTGTCTTAAAACTAGTATCAGTAGAAATTCTATGATCAGTCACCTCTGCTTAAAAGATTGGAACTTTTTTACAAGCATTTTAAAGTCAATTATGAATCATAGACACCATAAAAGGATTTAATGCTAAATTAAGGAAAGTAAAGACTGTGATTCGGAAAAGAGAAAAACTTAAAATCACTACAAAAACTGATACATGCAGTTATCTTAAATGCGGTTATTAAGTGAGCCATAAGAAAACCAAAAATAATATAAAAATTCTATTCAAGTGTCAACCATTAGACAGAAAACGGATATAATTAATATTACTTAATCAATGCACCAAGATGTTACATATCTATTATCCAACACATAATGCCTGGTGTAAATTCTATGATATTAAAGTTATTAAATCAATTG